GTGGTAGTTGATGTGACAAAGGATGCGTTAGTTATCTTTTCATTGGCTTGGTTTGAAAAAAAATTGCGTACTGGATAGATAAAAGTAATTTACATCAGATCTAACTGTTGGTGAGCAAATTCAACTACAGTTTTTTGAACTGGCTAAAACTTTAATATGGAAATGAAAAGTTAATTTCTATTAGCTGTCCAAGATAAAATTAATTCAGCTCTAATAAATATGCTTGACGTTATTACCATGGAGAGGCGTCGGCAAATATTCAATTGCATTTTTACTTCTGGCTGTAGAAACTGCACTATTTTACACATGCATCTTGCTCACTCTAGTCCCAAGTGCATCTCGCTCCAGTCTACAAATTGCGTCCTACAACAGTATATAAAGTGTGGGCCTTGCATCCTGAATGGACTGGTTTAGACTGAAACCAGTTGCTTCTCTTGAATAATCACTTGGAAGTCTGGTTTTCATTGTGAGAATGGAGGTCTGTGGTGCACTGGGATCAGGTTTTGCGATAATACTGATCAACCCGATGTATTTTGTACCACAGTGTGCAACATAGGGCGGATAGGTTCTGTAAAAATATGTGTATGAGCTAGCCTATTTTTTACAATAAAATGTATGTTGCCTTTATTATGGACAATTTATAATTGTAAATGTTTATGACTATTTGGATTTTAATAGTTGTAAAACATGTTTACAAATTGATGGTTGGTCGGATTACTAAACAACTTAACCTGCTCCCTTGAAGAATAAAACTCAAGATGGATAAAGTAGTTTCTAAACATTATCTCTTAATTCCAAAAACATTCTCTACACTTGATTTCAATCGTCATTTTGATGATTTAGAAATAGTCTATTTTAGATTTTTTTTTATATTAATAAACTATTTTTTCCGTAAACATAGTAACTTTGAGAAACTTACATGTGTACGTTAATCTAGTAATCTAGTTTGATCTCAAATGTTAGCTCATTCAATTGACTGCAATTAATTAAATTCAGCATGCTTTCAGCATGCCCTTGTAATTTGTGATATTACAAATTTAACTTAATTCTTACTCATCCTGATTTCTTTGTAGGGTTGCCACAGCAACTTTTACTCCGTCCACAAAATTTAGGCGGTTTTAGGGGAAGAATTCTATCTCCTTAAAACCTTAAAAATAATAGCTCAACAGCTGAGGTTTCTCAAAACGTCAATCAGCTGCAACATATAGGCTACATTAAAATACCCCCGCCGCAGCAAACCTGCCGACTAAGCGAATTTCCATTTGTCTAAATTGATTTTCAGTAAAATATATTTTAATAACATTAGGTTTAACGAGTACCTAGGTTTGCTGCTACAAGGAAACTAATAAAGTGTGTTTTTGAGTAAAATATTGATAGCTTAGTAGAAAATAAATAAATTTGCCAAGTTTGATCAAAATATATCCATAAACAAGCAAACTACAACATTTGACAATATTCTCCATAAGAATAACATGGGAATTTTAAATTTACAATTTTTTAAATTTTCTCCGTTACTAATAATCAAACAAAAATACTTTTATATACTAAATTATTTGTTTTTTTAAGCTCTTTAAAAAGGTCTAAAGATAAATCGGGAAATTTTGTGTTTTGAGGGTCAAAAGTGAGAAATACCAATTTTTACCCCATAAAACCCCCCGTAAAGCCCCGTTCCCATGATCCGATCGTGCTGGTTCGCGAACTCATTCAAGTTTATCCCGCTTTACACCTTTAAACCAAATTTCATCAAAATCGGACAAAAATTACTCAAGTTATCGCGTTCACGGACGTATATATATATATATATATAAGTCTATATATATATATATATATATACATATATAAAAATTTGAACGAATGGTGTTTTTGGCCTCTGGGGACATCAAAATGAAAAAGTAAATCGGTCCCGGGTCTAGGTCTTACCGTGCCACCTACGGTAATAGCTACTTCCCTATAGGGAAATTCGCTAAAAGTAGTGGGGAAACTTTCCCTGAAACGCCTACATTTTGCAAAAGGACTATACCAAGTAGGTGTAGGTGTAGGGAGGTCAGGCACCTAGTTACTAATGTGTTGCCAGGTGGTCAATAGATAACATTAGTCAGTTTGATAGGTTCAACAGCTCCTGTATTGCTTGTTATCTGTGCTTTGTGTGTGTTAATAGACGATACTCAAGTCGAAAACTGTGTGTATGTGGTTTAAAAAATACACATTGCACATTAAAGTTAATTTTTGACTTGCGGATGCCAAATAATATTAGCCTACAGGTGCTCTTTTGTTTTAGAAAAGTAATGTATTTGACATGACCGATGACTAATGTGAATAAGTCAAAATTCAGAACCATTCACAATAATCCTATTCTGTCTCACATCTTACAAAATCAAGGGCTTAGAAAATTATTGATCCCAAGTGGGTTGATTAACAGGTGCATCCAAATTTGTACTTAACTGTTTTGGGTTGGTCATAAGGTGATGTTGATGAACATGACTTGGCATACAGATGTATGAGTCACATTGTACAGTTATGTGACACACTGCATAAGGTCCTCATAGCTTATACATGGCCAGCCTGCTGATACAATGTCCAACATTCTAAATACACTGACGGACAGTTAAAGACAGTTCATACGAGCGAGTACCATCTAATAAATTTTCGATTGCCATTTACCATTAAATATGCATAAGTTTCATTTGCCAAAAGTGATAGTTAGTCATTATCCAAAAGTGATAGTCATTGCTTAGGGTGAGATTATTTCCTCAGTTAATGGTTTAAAATTAATTGTCTATGTATGTAGCTTGGAGGAAGGGGTGTGCGTGAAAAATATATTTATTTATAAAGTATGTCAAATGAAATTTTCCAGTACATCATATGCATATCGGACATAAGGTTATGCTGTTACACTTACATACGTGCTTCGTCACCAATCTAAATTCCCCTTAAAATAACATAAGGTACTGTCTTTGTCCAAAACACATTTTTAAATATGTCATAATTAATAGAGTTAAAAGCATAATAGGTTTCAACATTTGTGTATTAAAATTTATAAATTAAAGCAATCTTATTTACACGTAGTCATAAGCCTGTTTAGAGCTCAAACCGCAACTCTCTATTTTATATTAAATTTCTAAATCTCCGTTTTGTGATTTTATGCTAAAATTCTTATCCATAAGTCACTTCTTATTATAAGTATTCCTTCTAAACCTGCCTATGATTCTACTAACGTGAGCAAGCTGGTCTTGTGGTAGAGCATAGGACTTCGGTCCCTGAGGTCTCAGGTTCAAATCCTGCCAATGCCCAATGGGTTTTATGTAAGTGATAATGCCTGAACCACGTGGGAAAATTTTAGACTAGAACCTAGAGGAATAATACTGAGATACTGATAAAGTGTTCTCATCTACCTACTCCAAATGATAGTAACTAACAATTCTTCATCAAGCAACTCCAGGTTCTACAATAATTTTTCCTTATCATCCTTCTCGCCATGTGAGTCTACTCTACTGATATAAAAATTGTATTGCAATTGCAATGCTTAATTTATAAGGAATTCTATTACAAAACTAATCAAAAACTTGTTGTCTGTCAATAGTTTCCTGTTTAAGAACAAGGAAGCAGTTTGTGGCAATTTCCTTAATTGCTTTGTTGTTGAATCATTATTGGAATGTTGTTCATGCAAATGAGAACACTGTTTAAATTTACCCAAGGGTTATTATTGTTTCTTCAACATCAACTGTCTTTAACTCCTAATTTTAACGTCTGTTTTTATTTAAGTTGGTTATTAAACATGTTCTTAATTTACCACGTTTTACAAACACTCCAAGCAGCGTTAGCACAGACAATGGAATAAACCATGGAATAAACATTAAAGTATTATATTGTCTGTGGCGTAAGTGTACTACAACAAATAAATTTTAAAATATTACACACTTTTATTTACGATTTGTAAAATGCAGGAGCAAGTAATATTGTGAAGCTTTGACATTAAAAGAAAGCAAAAAAACCATTTATTTTCTCTGATGCTGGATACTGGATATTGACTTGTTGAGCGTTTGCCTTGTGTGATGCTGTCTATTAACTTGCTATGAGGTGTCAATATAATCCCGTCCATTCATGGCTGCTGAAAGGACTGTACTGATTATTCAGCTGCCAATCCTATTCTGAAAAATTATATTACCCTTGTAAGGGTTGTTAGTTTTATTCTGAAAAGGTGTTATACAGTTGCAAGTTCTTGCATTAACTAAGAGTTTCTTAGTTTACACTAAAGCACTAAATTAAAAATAAGAATATTTTCCTTTAAACATTTTACAGTGAAATAGTGTTTGTCCTTTTGTGAATTTGGCATAGTATTGCTATGTAATTAATTAGGCCTATATCAAAGAAAAAGTCGAGTAAACTAATCCTTATTTATTAGGCACATATAAAATGTAAATTGAATGGTGTCAACAAAGATAATTTAATTGCACAAGATAAAATGAACTGGTCTAGTTAAAAATCTGCTTCCTAGTTAAGAACAAAATACAAATTCTTCTTTTGCTTAAATAAATGTTTTTAACTACAAAGAGAACTTGAACAAAGAGATACTGAAAACGCTACCATGTGTTGTGTGTCTATAAGGAAAAGTACATTTTATTTCTCCGTATATTAACCCTGTTGTATGAGTGGGATTCTAGGGTTTCAATATAATAAAAGTAAATATCTTTCTGAAAGTTAATTTTTCTGAAGTTACAAAATATAAAATTGTGGTTTTAAAAACTTGGATTTCTTTGATGCCAACACACGAGGGAGCATATTTTTAAGCAAAGTTAGTGAAGAAAGAGTGTTGAATGAATGAATTGAATAGATCAGCTGGTTCTTATGCGTAAATATGAACGTCTTTTTCGAGGTGCTTATGAAGGGTGTTTTATCACAGGGAAGCTCGACGGAAAGATGACAATACATCTCTATTGCATGATATATTATACGTACAAACTTTGTTGTTGAAAGCGCTTATGATGACTGTTTTGTTGCAGGAAAGCTCGACGGAAAGACAAAGATGCATCGTCGCTGTGTTCCGACGAGCCCAAGCTGTACTTGGAGGAGACAGTGTTGGAGAGGAAGTTGCCGGACATTGACTTGCGAGTGTTGGTTGACCTGCCAGCTGGCCTGGACTACAACGAGTGGCTTGCGTCTCACAGTAAGTAATAACTACTTACTTTACTTTCATACTTCATTCTGAAATGGTGACAATACAAATGTAGGTATTTTAAGCCAAGTACGAATGGAGATCAGCTGTACACTATATAGGTACTTGGTATAAGCATTGACCTTTGGATACTACAGCATCCATGTGGACCTGGGATAGCCTATTTTTTTAAGTTGAATGAGCCACTCTCAGAATTGTCCTATTGTTAAAAATTCATTCTCTTCCATAGTTTTTGTTTCTGAGATAGTTGATGTCATAAATGATTCTACAGCTTTCCCATCAGTTTTACTATAGACAAATAGAATAAATATAGACTGTCAGCTGTGATGCGGTTAGCACAAGTTCTGCCATCCTTTGCTAGGTTTGCCGTGTAGTTACGGCGCACACCGCTGCAGTGTCTGCTGGTTGCATATACGGCTCCTGTGCTCTTCGCCTGTAGCGGTGTGCGCCGTAACTACAAGGCACTCCTAGCGGTGGGCGCCGGAACCTTCCTTTGACAGTCTACATTTATTCTATTTGTCTATAGTTTTACTTTAAAGTTAAAAACATAGTGTTGCAATGTCTAGTTTATCAATAGTTACTGTTGGGTGTAGCTGACTATTCAAATTTCAACTTTTTATAGGGCAGAGCTTTTTTTAAATTGTGATAGAAACAGAATAATTGTTGGTGCCATTATTCAATATTAAGTTATCATTTTCACCAGCACCCGCAAATGATTGAAATGGGTTTACAATTGTACGATTTTAAAATCAAACCCTCTTCCCTCCTTTGTGTTTTGTGTGATTTTAAAATGAAGATGTCGCATATAATATCCTTTTCCCAGTTTTATATGGAACAGAGATATCTCTGACAGCAATTGAAACATTTTCTTGATATAAAACATATGGCAACCCTTCTAATAAATTATGCTTACGGGATGTCTTCAACACAATTTTATTATGCAAGATCTAATAATTGTTCAACTTCATAATAAGTTACTTAACATTTGCACTATTTTTACTTCAAAATTCTTTGATATTGAAGGATTTCATCCTTTGAAGTGAATTTCTCTGAGAAGGAACGATTACTGTACCATAGGCAGCATGGAATGACCTAGACCCGCAAGCGTTACATTTTCGTTAAACACCATCCCTTCTAATTTACACATATTGAATTACAATGAATTAGAACTATGTATTTTACTATTTGTCCATTAGTATGATAACTCAGTTAAATATCATCCAATTTTGATTAAATTCGGTACAAATGTGTAAACTTATATCTATTCAATTGAGATTATGAACCAACATGATCTGACTATGTTAACGGGGTTTTATGGAGTGAAAATTGGGTTTCATATCTTAATAAAATAAAACTTGACATGATTTATTTCTAAATTATTTTGTAGAGCTTAAAAAAGCAAATAATTTTGCATGTTAAAGCATTGCTGTAGGCTTACAAAAATTTAACACACAGAGAAAATTGTTAAAAATGTAAATTTTCAAATTACCGATTCTAATGGAGAATAATAAAATTTTTGTGGTCTGCTTTTTTATGGTTTTTTATCACATTTTATACTAAAGATCACAAAAAATAAACCAGACATTTATAAGGATATATTTGAATGAAAATCTGATCTGGCAAATAGAAATTTGCTAAGTCTGTAGATTTTCTGCAGTGGGGGTATTTATATTTTAAGATAGTTTACTCCTAACGGCAAATTTCCAGATAACTTTTTAGTCAAGGCTAGGTTAGTTGTTATGAACCTGTTTCAAGGTAATGTTTGGTAATGAACCTTGTCACAAGATTTGTTATCAGTTGGTTGCAGAATAAGTTTTAATCAACCAGATAAGGACATTGTACATTCTAGTTACAGTCCTTGTGATAAATATGTTTATTTACATTCATTGCAGGTGTTGTCAATCCAGTTTGCAAAGTATTAAAATATAATATTAAACCTAAAACACACTTGAACTGCCTTTCATGTAATTTATGTTATCCACAAAATTGTTGACCACTGTTTGTCTAAGTAATATTTAAATAAATTGACTCAAGATCTTCACCCAAGGCTAGTTGGCCTATGTCTATTGTTATAGTTTTTGATCATACAACAGACAATGGATTGTTTTGATACAGTACACCCTCAGGGATTATTCTTTAAACCTACTTGTAATCGATATTGTGTTTGGCAACATTGATGAACATATACAAACATTCAATTAGTATTTTTATATATATATGCTATCTATTTCACCATGGCTATCACTTTGGTTTAGTAGGTAATCTATGGTTTTTAAATGACCGATTCCATAACAAATCCAGGACTTTTTGCTCAGATAAAAATATACTTCGTATACCTACTAAAAATATTAGACTATTAAAAGTGCATTGAGAATGGGAATGACATTAATTCATAGTATACTTCACTCTCTTTGACCCAAGATATCCTAGAAAAAATCAACTGAAATAAATATTATTTTTTTAACCTAATACTGATGAGTTAATAAACCAAAAATTAATCTCTAGAACTAACAATTAATGCAATATGAGTGCCGAAGAAAATCTAGGCACGGGCTACAATTTTTGACTTGGATACTGAAGTAGACATCTTACCTATATGGACCAGCTGTAACTTTTCAAGAAATATATTTTACTGTAGCTGAATATGCCACTTTACAGAGAAGTAGGAGAGGCCTACAAAGGCAGTGGTACACTTAAGTGGTGTCTTAGCACTGGTCGCTGGTGTTTAGGTGAAATGTCCAACACTGCCCCCTCGCCCTCATGTACTACAACTCTCAGGCTCTTCCTTGCTAGTCACAAGTATATTTCCGGCACAACAAACATTTTCTCATGTTGTAAATAATGAATTCATATGCACCAATACCATTCAATTCTTACATATTGGACAGAAGGCTCTAGGAAAGGTCATTTGAACTAAACTTATGAAATTTAATGAGTGTACCGGCTCACTCCTTGCTTTGCTGTAAACGATCCACGCACGGGCGCTTAGTCTATGTGGACGGGCAAATGCAAGGTTAAAAGAGGCCGCCAACCTCTTTTTTTAAAAGAAAAAAAAATACTAGAGCTTATAAGTTCTCCTAAACAAGTTTCCTCTGAACCTTACTTCCCTGCGGCTTCTTAGGCCCTGTACACATGAGGAGCGGCGGCCGCCTAGGACCGTACACATGGCAGCGGTTGAAGCCGCGGTTACGCTGCGGTTGCGGTGTGAATTGACCGTCGCTCGACAGCCAGTACTGTATTTACCCAAATATTTTTCTTTTAAACGCGTAATGCTTGACAATTCTTTTCAGCAAAAAGCTCAACTAACTCTTGCCAAACAATCTTTTTTAGTTTATGTCCTAAACGTATCTTCTTTTTGTACTTCTTTAGTGAACAGTTCAGTGTCAAAGTTTTCTGGTTCCACAGCAGCACGCATGGCCATTGTAAACTTACACCACGAGCACTACAACAACTCCTTCCACAGCTATACACTTCACCAACACAGAGAGAGAGAGAGAGCGATGTCCACAGCAAAGGGCAAGCGCGCAGATGTCTGTGATCCTATAGTAGCAACTGCAGTCAACCGCGGCGGCTACCGCCCTCATGTGTATGCTCTCATGCCAACTAGTAACTTCAACCGCACGGGAGCCGCGGCGGTCGAAAGGAAATCTACGACCGCCGCGGTTTGTTGCGGTTGATTGGAAGTGGGCGGTTGCATGTGAACGGTCCCATTTGCTCCTTTGTACTTTCAACCGCCGCGGTTCCCGCGCAATGGCAACCGCGGCGGCTGCCGCCCTCATGTGTACCGGGCCTTACAGAGTGCACAACAGCCTAACATTCTATTTCTGTTACTGATATTGACATTAAAGTTTCCTTGGCGTAGCATAAATTATCCTATAGCTTACGATAAGTGGTCCTATCAGTTTAACTTGGCTGAAAAACCTGCATATTTGTCATGAATCAGTAATTTACACAAGCACAATCACGCAAATTGGTGGCTCACATCAACTACATCCATTTTGATTCAAAAACTGGTGCAAACCTAAACATAACATATCAACAGTCAATCATTGTACAGTAAGTGGGCAAGAGCGGATGTTGACAACTTGAACTAATAGTAAATCTGACGAGTTATTAGCTGTGTTACAACAGAAACAGTGTACTGAGGTAATGTTTGGCACTTCCAACATCCCATGCTATTTGCAGCCGAAGTGGCTCGCCAAACATCTGCCCATTGGCACAGCTATTGTCTACCGGATTGAATGGATCCTTCCTGACAGTTAGCCAAAGTGTTATGTAATTTTTTACCTGACCAAAGATGCTCATAATTATATTCTCTGTGGTTATCTGATGTAATTATTTCCAATTTAAGTTTTATTTGGTGTTTAAAATAAACTTAAACTTAAATACTTAAACTTAAATAAACAAACACTTAGACCTACAATAATATGGGTGTATTTTTAATGCAACCAAGTTAAAAATAATGTGAGACATATTTTAATGGCAAAATAAGCTTATTGGTATCCTTTTTTTCTTTACTTCATTGCCGATCAACTGCTATGCATTGCTCCATAGTTATCTATGAGTTTTAATGTTATGGGAATTTATTGTAAATAAGACTCAACATGGTGTTTTCACAGTCAAATAGAGTATGCATTGTAGATATAATTTTTTTGTTTACTACAGGTCCTTTTTCATTAAATTTCTACATGTAAACAAGAGTTGATTTTGTAGGTACTGGAATTGCACCTAGAAACCTTTTTTTTTTTTTTGAAGAGGTTGGCGGCCTCGTTTAACCTTGCATTTGCCCGTCCACATAGACTACAGATCTGTGCGTATCCAGCAAAGCAAGGGGTGAGCCGGTACAGTACAAAGGTGAATTGTACTGATAAAAGTTTGTGGCAGTGACCAGGATCCGAACCGTCGACACTACTGCCTTGGGCCCAAAGTCCGCGATGTTACCAACTGAGCCACCGACTCACCTTAATTAACTTAACTTAATTTCACTTAAT